CCACTAGTGTGGGTCCAGTAATCGCATCAGACTGATCCAGGCAACATGGGAGTAGAACTGCCGAGGGGACAGGTTCTGTTAATTTCTGTTGGAGTGAAGGTCTAAGCATGTATTTGTAATTCGGTTCCTGTATTTGGAGATTGTCAAAACTCTGCAATCCCATCTGGTGAATAACATTGTGTGTACGACGTAGCAACGGACAGTGTTTCTGATTCATTCTGAAATATGTGTCTTACTTCAACAGTGCAGCACTTGCCTCGCGGAAGTTCCTGGATTTTCACATCACATCAAGCTTTGGTTTGGAGGTGATCTGCTCACTTCTTCCACCCAAATGAGTAGTACCCATTTCTTGACCCAGCTGAACTGGAGTCAAACCTACAACCTCTCTACTCCAACTAGTTCTATAATTTGACCCTGACACTACCAGCAAGAAGCAGGGTAGGTGAATTTATTCCCAAATCATTCATTTCATCGTCTTCAACGTATGTAGGATGAATTGCTGCATCACAATATAAAACCAGAGGGTTCTGATGCAGAGATCATTTGAATTTCCAGATCAAAGTTTCATTCAGCAGGGTTTGCTTCCAAATAATGAGGAGGTCCAAGGAGACTTGAACTTCCCTTATCGAGGTGTACCTGAAGTATCATATTACCAAGTGCAGAATAAATAAATTAAACATGAACTGTGCAAATTCAGAAATTTGGTACTTGCTTGATAGTCCTACAGTTTTATGCTTTGGCATACAGACCGTGTCTGGATAAAAGCCAAGACACAACAATGTTCAAGGAAACATATGACATCACAATCTGTATGTACTTCACTTTGGGAATACCAAATACCTTAAAAGAATTCTGGAATACGTTCATCATTCATCTCTCTAGGGTTTATAACCTCTTATATTTCCTTAACCTTCCAACCCCTGTCCCATTTTGTTTAAAAAAAAATCGATCATATTTACAAACTGTTTTAAACAGTTGAGAAAAATAAACATTTTGTCCCCAAGACATCTCCTCCAACACCTTGTCATTCCTTGACTGAGTCACAGAGATCCACACTAGATTGGCACTGGAAATACACCTTTCACTCACCACCACAGGTGCTGAAACACATTGAGGCAAACTCATATGTAAATGTGCAATCCATTAAATTCCAAATTAATACTAGATTTCTAGATTTTCAAAATTTCCTTTGCATCACTGAGCCACATAACAAAATCTAAAAGGAGGTAGCAAACATCCTTAAATCCAGGTAGATTCCACATGATCTCAGGTCGATGGGCTTGAGTACTTACAGCTACATTTCTGATTTCAAACCTCCTTATAGTACATAATGAGTAGTTTTCATATTACTCTTCTGTCCAACTCATTCAACAGCAAGCCTGAACTATGCAAACAGGCAATATGTATTGTGGATTCTTGTCCAAACTAAGTTGCTCTTTAATCCTCATGATCTTGGTATCAGGGGCTTTCAATTCAGATTGCAAAGAAAATCCCACAGATAACGATTTAAAGTGACTTGAGAAAGGTCTCCAAAGTAGTCTCTTTTGTAACAAGTCACTGATGGAGCTCCAACCATAGGATTTATCTGATTAAAGAACTCACTGATAACAATCCTTCCAAACCCCATTGCTGCAGTGACTAATCTGTTTACTATACATCTACTTGAAGCTCTTTAATCTTCTTATGTTACTGACTCATTTTTCGCCTATTTTAATTGCTGCTGAAAAAGTTCCTATGATACAAGAATGGATGAGCTGTCCTAAACTGTCTTATTGTTGTAAATGTAGTTCAGCTTTATACCAGTGGTACTGCAGGATATATCTACCCTTGAGGAAAATTCAGCACAATTAACGCTTTTTGCCAATACTCAACAGGACTGGACACTATCCTGTAATTTAATGGCAATTAATCTAAATGAAATGAACTGAGTGAATTCATATTTTGAGACCTTACTCTGGTTTCTTACCTTCAGACATTAAACTTAGGCTGTAAGGAATAGGGAGATAAAATGGCTTTTTTTAAAAAAATAATCTAGAATTGAATTAAGACAGTTTGCTCTATTCAAGGAGGCACAAATCCATTGTATGTGGTTAAGATACTGGAGCTGATTCTCGTGCGAAGTAATTTGACACTCTTTGAAAATCATTTGAATATTTAACTATTACTACTACAGTATTGATAAGATGCAGGGGACTAGAAGCATGATAATTGAACAGCATGTATAAAGTGCTCTCGGGGAGGGGCAAAGGAGGTTCAGGTTGTGTTGATCGAGAGGCGTCCCAGAATTCTTTGGTACCAGTTGCTGAGGAGAATCATCATCTTACGCTGAGCTGTGCAAATCCAATGAGTTTGGTTTCATCTGGGCTGTAGCCCTCACAGCCAGAGACCTGTGAGGAGAATGAGGGGGAAAGAGTGAGCATCCAGCTGGAATTCCTTTCAGTTATTTAGTTTTATATCTTGATTGGTCAGCAGATGCCAAATGGAACTCTAGGGCATTGGTTAGATTGGCGGACAAATTGGACAATCCCTGAAAAAGGGCAAGGGGACCACGATACACAATTAACCTGTGCTTGTTCAAAACAATGCAGGGAGCGCATCAATTTCTGTTGCCTGCTCCTTTAAATAACCGCTGCATATAGCTAGCACTAACTGCGCTGTTCACTGGCTGCACACATCAGCAGATTGTAACTTCATAATACCAGTTAAACCTAGCTTGTACCTCTTAAAGAAAAGGTGTGGCTTGAGCAGGTGCAGGAAATAAATCTGACCTGTGAAAGATAAAACAATCTACAATATAGTGGGCTGTAGTAGAGCCTAGGTGGAGGATGTGGAAAGGAGGAGAGATGGCCTGTATCCAAGGCAGTGGAGAACAGAAAACTGTAGATATCACTTCCAGAAGTCAAGCCCATAGTACTGCAAGAAGTTCAATATCCTTACTTGACTAGCAAAGGTCAGTGAATGGATCTGGAACTGTCATATCCCTACAATTGAAACACTAATCTTGGACACTGATTAATTTCCCACACCCCTATCACTCACCTACCACCAATTACTAACATAAGAAATAGGAGTAGGTCTTTGAAGTTTTGACATTTCCCAGCCTCTCGCCATTTAAGAAATATACCTTTATTTTTGTCTATCAAAGTGGATAACATTTCTCCACACTGTGTAAAAACACTTAGCAGATGAAACATACTCATTTCACCTCTCCAAATCCCCTTAAGACATTGTTGCATCATCCTCACAACTGACATCGCTACCTAGTTTTGTGTCATCTGCAAACTTGAAAGTACTGCATTTCATCCCCGTATCCAAGCAATTGGTATAAATTGTGAATAGCTGGGGCCCAAGCACTGATCCTGACACTACCCCTACTAATCAAAGCCCTACACATTCCCTGTTTGCAGAACAAGGTGGTATGCAACAGGAAGGAACAGAAGCAAACAGGAGGGGGACAGGCAGATCTACATGTTTTACCTGTCAAGGTGATGGTGCTTGCCATTATCAGATTGCCCATCACTGGGACGCTGCCCAATGATAGAGTTGAGATAATTGAAGATGGCAGTATCCTCTTGGCTGATCTTCCTCCTCACATCATGTCTCCCACATGCCCACAAACCTAATTCTCTTCTGATTTACAAACTGCATTTCTTACATTACCAACCATGCTGCATTGCAACCTTATCCCATGCAATTTCTCTTTCAAGTACCCAACAGTGCAATCTGGTCAGGTGTGGAAGAACAGCAAGATGAATACACAGCACTATTATGTACTTTCACACTTGTACCTATGAGCTCAGATAATGAGACAGCTCAGAGGATAGCATAGAGGCAGGATTTCCATGTGCTGAGACATGGGGCATGGGGGGCTGCAGCTCGAGCACAGATGCCAGCTCACCAGAGTGTGATTGGGCAACCTACAGAAAGATGTCATTAAGTATGCAAAACAAAATGCTTAATGCATTGGGAAGCCTGCAAGAAAGCCACTAATCAATGTCGAGGA